ATCGTACCGCGGTTTTGGGTGCGCATTACTACCAGGGTTTTTCCATCCATTAAACATGACATGCGTCATTTTTCTGAGTGGCTTGCCAAAGAATAATATCGTAAGGTAAAATCGATTTTTAGCAAAACATAAGAAAAATTATAGGTAAAAATGACAGGTTTACATTTACTAGGAGGGCATAACCGAGAGACCTTTACTGCATTACAGCACTGTTTAGCTTGATATCGATGCAAACGCCTAGACATACCTGGAAAAAATGCCATGCATTGTCTTCTAGGCGTGCTTGGAGCTGCCATGACTTATATCCCGTTGTGCCTCAACACACCCTTCCCGTGGCCTTTCGTAAAATCCATGGGTGGAAAGTTACGAAATAAATAGGGTAAGAATTCACATGAATGTCCCGTCTCGCAGCGCATTTCTACGAACTTCGCCAAAATGGCACCGTCTAAGTCCTTTATCTCGAGATGTGGTTGCATTCCCGATCTAGACAATCCTGGCATCCCTGTTTTGAACTTCCTGTTTTCAGTTGCACCCCATTAAGTCAGTATTTCACTGGTGATCCACTAGTGCCACAGAGTGGGAATTCAAAAGTGTTAATGATATGTGGCAAATATGCAGCTGATATGCATTTAGTGATTTTTAGAGTTATGAGGAGTATAAAGTGCAAAGGGAGGATGTCGATACCGCGCTGGCGGAAATGCACAAAAATTTCCCAAGGTATGCATTTTTTGTCAAGATACCGAGGTAATTTCTCTACTGTTTTTTTTTTCCACATTTGTCTTTTTATTCATTGCCTGCTTTCATCAGCAAAATGGTTGGACAGCGTTGTTTCTCAGATTTCATTATTTTGTATTGCCAACCAGTTTTGTAAAAAAAGCAAGAACGAACCTAGCTTTTTTTTTGCTCCGGCTATATTTTGCGGCTTTTCAACTTCGTCATTGCTCGCCTACTTTATTAACTTTGCAACTTCCCCCTATTTCATATTATCGTATTTTGATCAGTTTGTCTTCGAGTCAGATTTCCCCTTTTTTTAACGTTTCATTGAAAAACTTTTAAAACTAACTAGAAACGAATCTGTAGATTCAACTTTGTTGTGGAGGAATTAGTTTGAAGGCTAGTGGGTTTCATTCGCCAAGCG